ATACAAGTCTGTCCGCAGAACAAATGGAATCTCTGAAAAGTACGGTCAGTGCAACTGTGGGGATCGAGTACAATAGTTTGGAGAACGCAAAAACTTTATCGTCTCATCTGAAGCTGGCTTTCAGTATGGTCAATTTTAGCACCATTCGGTTGTTTACAGAATATATCGATGAACTCAATCCGACAATTAGTGGTGTTGTGAGGTCGGACGAATTTACCAACGGATTGGAAAATCTACATCTCAACATTTATTAGATTACGATTAATATTAGTTAAATATATCTAATACACGTACTTATGTTTACTATAAAATGTCTATTGCATTATTTATAATAATAATTAATAACCAACTTGTATGCCACGTCACGATAATTAAATTTCTACAAATAAATAATCACATAACAATTTCGCACATCATTTATATTTTATTATAAGCTCTGATGCATATTAAGCTGAATATAATAATTATTTTAATAAGTTGTGAGATTTATTTCCATTCGTAAGTATCGTCAAAACAAAATACACTATTTGCCTTGAGGAGTTTTAATCATAATTATTATAACTAAAAGTGATAAAACTTATTTCTAAATTCTAAATGATTAAAAAAATTTGTAAATCGGAAAAATACATTTTTTTTATTATATCGATAAATATTCACATACACGGTGATTCTTTTATCATGGACCAGTCAATATCTCACTGGGTCTAATTAATAATTGAATTTTGTTTTTATAATGTTTTTATAAAAGGTGATATTAATTTTTCACAATTTTGTTTTTGGTTTTTAACCCCCTCCCAATTTAGTTATTTTGATAGCAACTATTGATTTTCAAAAGGGATGTTATGTTTTTTTTTTAATTATGAAGAACTATAGTATATTAAAATATGTACACTTGAATTTTTTATTTTGGATGAGTAGTTAACTACATACATTTAAATATTGTAGGTCGGCGGGGTACCGTGTAAACGTTCAGCGCGCTGCTGATCGACTCTTATGTAGGTGCTATTGTGAGATACAATACTCACAGTAGGACAATTTGTAGAAGCAATTTTTTATATACTGGGCCTTCGGTCATAGGTTCCCACATAATTAAGTTATGATAGATAAAATCAGAATGGACATTGATTTACACGAAGAAAATGACATAATTTTTTACACTGGCAGCATTATATGCCACCAATAAAACTGAAACAATGTACTTCTTTTTCGGTTGACATTTTATACTTATCAGTTATCACTGTTTGGTTTAATATTATCAAACAAACATATTAATTGATAAAGATCCTGTAGAATGTCAATAATTGTGTAATTATTAATTTTTACTTATATTGTACTTGTGTTTTTATTCGGGTATTTTTTAAACTTATTATGTGGATGAATTTCGAAATGATATTTCAATCCATGAAAGTTTTAACACATTCATAACTTAGTATTATTTCTTTATAATAAGAAACTTTATGGTCTACATTAAGAAGTTTTGATGTATTAATTTAATAATTAATATTATCTAATCATATAAAAATAAAATGTCGCATAGAAAAAGCGTGGTCAACATTTAACAAAATAAGCGCAATCATCAAGAGTTACAAACTGTTCTCTTGAAGCAAAAATGAGACATAATATAAGAAGGTATGTGTTCGCTATTTATTACAGTTTTCTTGCACACACAAATTCAGGCGATTTATTATTTCATTATTTGTAGCTTTTTGAATAATATTCAAATCTATTTCCGAGCACACTTTTGTTACCTATCTTGTTTTTCAATTCCTTTTTATTTAATAATGTTTTACTATAATTTTTATTTTAAATGAACCCCCAGAAATAAAAATCCAATCACCACCAAATTAATTACTACCTCTTAAAACAATCGTGAAAATGCTAAAAATTGTCAAATAACATAAAGTGGGTTATTAAAAATCTATTTATGTTCACTATGAAACTATTCAACATAGGTAATCTCAAACTGGTATTTTAAATAATTAACCAAGCAAGTAATTAGCATACATACAGCTGTAAGAAATTTACTTGGGAAATTACATAAATTGTTCAAAGTAGTTTATTGAAAAAAGAAAAAAAAATATATGTACAAATGGAATGCTTACAAAAGTGGTGATTATCTAGGTACTGATAATTATTATTTATATTAATAAAAATTAAATGCTGTTGGTTTGTCAGCGCATCACTTGAGAACGGCTGGACTGATTTGGCTCATTTTTTTTTAATATTCATGATAGTCCGGATAAGGTTAAAGCGGGAAAAAAAATTGGAAAAGTATCCCGGGCAAAGCCGGGTACAGGCAGCTAGTATTATGATAAATTGATTTCAAATTAGGTTGCCGTACTACTTTTCGGTATTATTTGGAGTCTTTGTCATATTAAAATACAAATGTGGAACGGTAAACATATAGCAAAAGTTATTTAAATTAAATGATTTACTATTTTGTTCGGGTGTTTTGAGATGTCTTACAAATAAAAAAACTTAAATACGTCAATACAGAATCAGTATTTTTTGTATGACACAAAGCTCATTGTAATATGTTTGTAAATCTGACTGTAAATATTTCTTGAAATTTCATTTTGTACGGTTTGATTTTCTTTAAACCGTTTTTGGTAAGCGAATGAAAAATATTACAACTTCGATAAGTAGCAAGCTAAAACAAAACATATCAAACAATTGATTGAGTACACATTTTAAAACGTAATATCTTGTTTAAAGCTTACCTGAACTCGGCCAAATAGTAATGAGTTCATTACTATAGACAAATGCCATTATATATTAATGAAGTATAATACGGTTTTAATGTTGGAAGTTGAAACGGTTTTCATGAAATCGGTTACGAAATTATCGAATTACGTTTACATAGCCTCTCCTATACCTAATCTTTAAACATTAATAGCTAACCAATGCAAAATTCTATTTTGATTTTTTTTTTTGTCAAATTTTTAGTTTTTTAGTTTTGAATAATAATTTAAAAAAAAAAAACATATCGTCCTATTTGAAAATTGTAAGTTGACAACTATATTATCTATCTAGGAAGGGGTAACAGTATAAAATTAAAGTGAAAAATTGAGATCACTTATAATGAGCAAGTTTAAAAAAAAAAAGTAAATTATTAATTAAACCCAGTGAGATATTGACTGGTTCACGACAAAAGAATCACCCTGTATAGGCAATTTAATGTGTATTGTCGTTTTTGACCATTCAATCCAAATCTGAACTTCATGAAAAAATAAAAATATGTAAAGATTATTATTTTATCGAAATTTATTGAGTTTCAAAATATGTCTAATCAAACATCATATCGTCGCTCAATAGTAGATAATAATAGAAATATAATAAAATGTACGGACATGGTGTTTAACATATTTTTTTAATACTCTTTTATACTGCTTGACATATTATTTGTATAGTTTTAAAATATAATTCAAGCGTATCGATTACAACTTTTGATATACTAATTGATGAATATGCGTGCCTTTGGTACGGTAATAATTTAGAGCTCATGATTTGAAACGCGCATTGAGAATATACGTGTACCCGGGCTTTTCAACACTCCCTCTAAAATTAAAATTAATTTATTTTAGATTCATAAATGTATTTTTTATGATTTTTAAAATTTTTAAAGTTTAACCCTTCCCCTTCAAATAATATCAAACCTACACAAACTGTACATATTTTTCATTTCAAAATTAAGGCACGTTTAATTAGTTCCAAATATTTATGAAATATTTTTCAGATAAAATACCATCGACGTACATTGAAAAAACAGACAAAAACATTTTTCCTAAAAATAGTAGAAACTTTTCCTTCATTTCTCTTTTTTCAGCAAGTTTATATGACTAAACCCCTAAAAATTTAACTAGAAAGAAGGATCTTGCGTTGGCTATAAACATATATAACTTTCTTAAAAATCTGTAGTCTGAAATTACTGAAATATATATATTTTTATTAAACCAAGTTATTTAGTAAGTTGCAGTTTTTATATGATTACTTTATAATTAATAATATAAGGGGTTTTTAATCTAACTAATAAGGCTTCGAATACAAAAGTCTTTAGCAGGAAATGGAGGAACTACAAGTTACATTTCGGATAAAAACTAAAAAGGTGTTTTTTTTTAATATAGGAAGTACAGTTAATATTAGGTTTTATGTACTAGAGACTGATTTATTTTGGGCAAGACACTTGTTTTCTCGGAAGATATTAGTATTTTGAAAATTAAATGTTCTCTACACGTTCAGGTCCAAACGAGGCTTAAGTTGTCGAGCGACAACTGCTATGATGATAATACATAATTTTTAATCAAAATATTGTTATCTACAAGTGTATAAAAAAAAGTTCAACAGCTCAGTACTACTCTTTATTAACTTTAAATTGTTTAATGTGATAATTATATCACGACATATCATTTTAGACGTTTATATTATTGCTAGTTACCAAAGTTATTTATTCAAAATTAAATGCAATGTAAGTACTGTTTATAAAACATTTTACAATTTAAATTTATACCTATACATTTTTTTAATATATTAATTAATTATTATAATTTAGAATTATGCTTCAAATGATTGTTTGTAATTTGGAATATATATTGAATTGAATAAACTATTATTTTGCATATTTTTGGTTGTATCTATGTCTTCATTTTTATAGATATGGTTGATATATAAAACTGAAAATATACAAAATAATAGTAATACTGTTATTCATTAGGTATTTTATAGGAATTGGCAGATAATATATGTTCACAGCCATTGTACATCTCTAGTTAAGTTCTAATGAAAACACAAAACCATATTATTTTTTAAAGAAAGCCTACTCGTCCGCGGTGTTAAAATAAAAACACACCTTTGCAAACATCAGTACTAGAAATATTGTGAGCTAACAGGAAAAAAACACGGTTTTGTATTTGTCTAGCAAAGTATAGCCTATACATCTTATAGTATCACAGTGCAATCGAATATAATATCCGAGTGTAGGTATAATATTGTTTTTTTTTTTCGCACTTGAGTCAACGCTACACGGAAGACGCGTAGACACTACTTATTTAAATACTTTTATTCATCGTTCGACTTCAGTTTCAATAGTCGTACAGCTATATTATTAAAATTACTCGATTGAATTTTAATTATTGTTTAAAAATACAATAATACTCTTAAGTATGCATTTCAAGAGCGCCCTTATTGTCTGCGCGGTGTATTACCTAACGTCGGCATGGGTAAGAGTATGATATTACATATTTATTATTTAACACGGATAGTATAAACTCAACCAATTTAATACACACCGATTATACTTGATACATTATAATATATATGTTATACCACGTCATCGTCAATGGATGCACTCTGTACGTTTACTAACACAATTAATAGGTCGTCATACGTTTTTTTCAGAGCATCGGACTGAACAGTGATCAATTACAACTGCTGAATAAACAGTTTGAAAATTACAAAAAGGCTAAAAACGGAATTAGCGAGGAACAAATCGCACAGTTCGTTTACGAAACCTTTGGAATGAAATGGGATGATCCTTCAATTATTTATGGATACGATTCAGGTAATATATTATTATTTGTTGGAATGATAATAATGGTGTCTACATTGGTTTAGTAGAGTGCTAAGCAAGTGCTAGTGGAAATACCCACTCGGTCAAAAAAATAGAGTTGTTTTCTAGTCGCTCGACTAAAATGTTTACTAGAATCGTCACTGGAGTTACTACTAAATGATAGGTCCACATCTTTCAAGCAAAAAAAAAAATTAGTAACTCGGCCGAGTACTATCCTAGTGTAAGCCCAGCTTTAGCCTAAGCGGATGACACTGTAATACTTGGAGAGTCAAAAATGGAATTAGAAGGGACTGTGAGAAAGCTCGTAGTGACAAGTAAAAAGATGGGCCTTAAAATAAACGAAAATAGAACTAAGTATATGCTAATGAGTAGGCGCCCAACACTGTTACAACAATTTACTATTTTAGCACTAATCGTTTCTGTTTTGAACAAGTCGAGAATTTTAAATATTTAGGTGCTAATATCATAACAATAATATGCATAACGAGACTTAATGCAGAATAAGTGCAGCAAGCCGAGGGTATCAACTACCATGCAGTGAGTAAAATATTCACATCGAAACTCCTCTCAAAAGAAACAAAAAAAGAACTATACATTGCCTACTTACACCCCATTGTCATGTACAGATGTGAAACATTGTCCACAACGCAAGTTGACGACAATAAACTTTTGACCTTCGAGAGGAAAATACCTAGAAAAATATAACATAGGCCTATGTTAAACCCCAATGTGTTACTCCACTGGTGTATACGAGCGGAGTAACTTAAGCAGACTGTATAATGCACCCAATTTACAAGATTTTTTGAGATCGAAAAGATTAGATTGGGTTGGTCATGTATGGCGTGTAGAGGTTGGATTGATTAGACAGGTACTCATTAACAAGCCAAATAAAAAACGACCTATGGGAAGAGCAAGACAACGGTGGACGGACTGAGTAAAAGTTGACTGAAAGAGATTAAGAAATAAAGAAATAAATCGAGAAGGTTGGAGGACTCTGGTAGAAGCGGAAAATAGCCTGAATGGTGTGTGCTGCAAAAAAAAATTACAACTTGCTTTTGGACATTTTAATTTGACCGTGATCGACCGTTAAGGGCTTTACGCTCGGTTAATTAATATATTTTGTTGAGCTTAGGAGCTAATACCGGATAATTCTTTTAACGATCTACACTAGTTTATTCTTAACATTATTGCAATTTTGAAGGGTTTCCTTTTGAAGACATTTTCACTTATGCTTTACCATAATATTAGAAAATATTCACATTCTTATATTTTTTAGTATTTGCCAAAGGTTTTATAATTAGTAGCATAAATATTTAACTGAATTTTTAAAGGAAAAATAATTTAATTAAGTTAATTAAGCTTAAAACTAAGGATGGGAGTAGGCAGGGGGTTGAATATTGCGCGCAGATAAAAATAACTCAACTCTCCGCCCTTCCTTCCTAAATTTTAAAGTATCATAACTTCAAATGTAATTATCCAAAACTAGTTTTTGATCAGTCAACATTTTCAGAATATTATTATTAATTTAAACAAGTTCAGTTAATACGGTTTAACATAATATAAGGGACGGGAAAAAAGTATAACATATTCTAAGTTATTGACTATTATAAATTTGACTGTAAATACATTTTTTCAAATCACTACCCCTTTCCTTTTAAACAATTATTCTGCGTTATGTTGCAGTGCGGTGAGTGGATTACATCCACGACTGACCGCCTTCTAGACCTAAATTAACGAAACCTAGCCAGAACTGGAAGCTACCTTGTATCTAGCCTAAAATATCCCTAGAGACTATTTATACGTTTATAAAACCACCAGAAGAGCAAAAGGGAGGTCGGACCTTTAAATGAATTAACACTCAATTTTTAATGTACAATTAAATTTATTAAAAAGGATTAGTGCCGAGTAAAAATTAGGTTAGTGGTTAAATTAATATTAGCCCAGGGTGCTGTCCGACATATTATACCAAGTAGGTTTTGTTGGATAGTAACGATAGCTACTATCCATGCACAATATTTTTACTGTTTATAATATTTCGGACAAAAAGCAATTGTCATAACTGATTAACTAAAAATGAATGATTTAATTAACAACTTATCGATTTGTATACAGATGAGTACGATTCTACTAATTTATTTTACTTACTGAGGGCTTTGGCAGAACATGACAACAAGAGCTCCGACAAATTCAAGGTATTTAAAGTCTTAAATCAACTAGTTTAAGATTGTTTCAGAATAAGACACTCATTTTCTCTTAAAATAATCGTAATTTTGTAGTTCAAAAAAAAAAAAACAAATTAGTGTCTTTTCTTAAATTAAACACACTATGAACAAAATGTAACTCAAGTTTAAAATTTAGAACTGGAGATTGAGTGATATTAACTTTAGTATCTTTATAAGTAATTTCTCAAAACCAGCCTTCGACCAGTCAAAATTTGTATTTAATTATTTGCTATTCAACAAAAAATAACATATATACTTCATCGTTCTGTAATAAGAGATGTTGTTTTTTAAATATAATCACTATAAAAGGATAATTTTAAAAAGTCCAAGATATTTTTTAACATAATGGCTGGGCCAATGCTGTTATTAGCAATAACCCATTAAGTAACAATTTTTTTCAGGGTAATAGACTTACGCCTTTTGAAGTAGACTTTTTCCTGGAGGAGTTCGTTACGTGCATCGGATCTTATGAGCAACCGAGATATCTTGCACTTCAAGAGCTATCGAAAGCATTCCAATATTGGAAAACGATGAATGATGCATTGAACGCAAAACTAGAAAAACTTAAATCCGAAAAAGGCGGTAATGCACATAAGCCGAGGAGGCGGTTGACTTGATGTAGACAATTAAACATTTTTTATTCTATTTTAGACGACTATGTTTTGCATGCAGGGGAATTCTTGTTGATCATGTTGGAAATCAAACCAGTAGTGAGTGAAAAAAATAAACAGGAGACCATATTATATTTATTTCTTTTGAAATTATTTGATAGTAATATGAAAATATTAAACGAACTTAGTCTGAACGAAAATAACGAATGCAAATAAAATAAGTAATAATTTAAAACTAGAAAAAAATTAATCACAAAAAAAGGGAAAATAAAATCTGTAGATACGTTTGATAAATAAAATAATAAATCAAATTTTACATACATTTAATAAAAAATTTCGAATAGAAAAACTAACCAAATTGATTGCATGCGGTCTGTTTTTGAGACGTTTTATACTAAAAAGGCAGACATTTCGACTTCTTAGGATGGTCTGATTTAAATTCTGTAATGATATACGAGTTCATTGGCAACTTGACTATAGGTTATGTAGAAAAGAGATTTTTAATATTGAAAAAATTGCAAAATTAATTAATATAATCACAAAGACCTGTAATTTTTAAATGAATATCAGCTTCCTACCTAACACAGTAAAGTAACCAAAGAACTTGAATTTAAAATTAAATTTTTAGTTGACATTGGACCATACTACGTAGTTAAAATTTATTATAGCATTTTGGTCTAAAATAAACCAAAAATACTTTTACTCATGGAAAAAATTATTTAAATTAAAAATAATACCTCGAAGCTTACAAAAAAAAAACCGGTATGTTAATTGGCATGAGAGAAAATTGTTATAAGAACTTTTTTCTTAAATATTGCCTATACAAAACTCCTTAAAAACAGCTCGCATGCAATTCCTTTTTAGTAAGGATTTTCAAACATTATTTTTATTTATTTTTAAACTATGTGTAAAATATTAAAAAAAAAGTTCCATATGAAAATTACTGATGGGAAATTAAATAAGTTTTAATAAAATTACACCTAGAAAAATAAAGTGAGTAAGAAAAATCCAGTATTCACGGATAAAAATAAAAATATCAATAAAAACATTGTACCTAATGACATTTTTGTTATAAAAAATTAACTTTTAGTATTAGGGTGGATACAATTAGGTTTATTCGTCTTTATATGATGTTGAAAAACTAGCAGTAAGTTTTATAATCGTGCAAAATTTTAGGGGAAAATGAAAACCCTTATCGGAAGGGAGTTAAGGTGTTATTTACTTCTTTTAAATTATTCTACCACACTACATCTCCTATCCCAAATTTTAAAATTTAAAGTAGATATTAAAATCCGTTTGTCAACCAGTAAAAAATTTCAGCAATTTATTTTTAATACAATGGCTATCTTAAATTTAAATAAAAATTGTAAAGCAGTAAAGAGAATCAAAAATTTCGAAAAATGGTGAATCTAGAGATGTGGAAATTTGGGGATTTATTGTTTGAATTGGCTATTACCGAATTTGGGCTATGCTTGTATTAATAATATTCTTCATACATTGTAGGGTCGTGGTTTAACAATAGCACAAATAGAAATGTTTGATACTTTATACGAAGCACATAAGACATCCGGTAGCGTGGATCGTGTAGCATGTGAAAAAGTGTTCGAAGAGCTTGGTATAACCGTAAATGACGAATTGGAACTGCTATTTAACTCCCAGCGTAAGACTTGTTTTTGTATTATATTACGTATGTAATTGGAAAACTGCTAATTATTAAAATTCGTACAGGACCCGCTGGAATATTGTTGATGGATTTAATCATCCTAGCGGCAGAACGTAATACGGCGGTTGAGGAAAATGTAATATCGTTGATAATTATTTCTTTTTTAAATTTAAAAGTTCTTCGCTGTTATGTTTGTTACACTATCGCGCCTATTGATTAATAACTATTTTACATTATTACTTAAAAAACTGTTTAGGAATTGAGTGTATTAAGTCTATGCGAGGTCATATCTGCCATAAACGAATTCCAAATGCTCGATGGTAACACCAATGGTGTACTATCCCCTAATGAGTATGCCAGCTTTGTGGATGAGTCAAGCCCTTTTTTGATAGAGTCGGAAGAACCTGTCAAAAATCTGAAAAATTATTTAAAGAAATTCGATGGTGAAATTAATTTAAACAGTGTTAAAATGCCTTAATGAACGACGATTGTTTTTAAAAAAACGGGTTTTCCTTTTTTAGGTGTTAATGTTATAAACGTTGCGGAATACATGGAAGTTGTATTTTTCATTGATAAACATACCGAAGACTGTCCCTATTCCACTAAATTTTAGCACCGTGTAAGATAAATTTCACTAACTTTAGCTATTGTTATCGGACATGTTCATTAACCATAATGATACAAATAACATTTTGAAAATTTTAATGTATTTATAAATATAAATATTATGCTCTCAGTGACTAATAAAAAAAAAAACATTATCTTTTTTGTGTTAACAAATAATTAAAAACAAAAAAATGCAGTGATTAAATGATATTATTTTTATTTAGTCACAATCCTATTATATTTAATTACACTAAAGTTTTCACTGTATAAAGATATAAACAGTAAAATCGGGCTATTACCTAAGAAGTTATTATAGAACTTATTTTTCCCAGCCAATAGTAGTAAATAAGATAATGGTTTTTTATTTTGTTGTCTTAAACAATTTTAAAATATGGAGACAGCTGATCCGTGCACCGTTCAACCACGACTTTAATCCAACCAGAAGACTAATATATTTTATTTAGAATAATATTGTGTAAACAATTTTTAATAAGTGATAATTTATTCACAATTATTTAATATATAATTATTTTTAAATCGTCCAACAAAGAGCTGTAATATCTAATATAATTTATTTACTTTAAATTTTTAGCACAAAGTGTGTCTAAATAATAATCTCAACTTTTAATTCTGTATTAAATAGATTATAATAATAAATAATATAGTTTCAAAACCTAATCGGGATAAGTATTACCTTCGATTTAAACCTGTTTGACTTGCGGGATCGAGATTATCCTGCTTTGGCCAGATTGATTTTGGTATCCTTTCTTCCTCGATTAGGTTCCTCACTATCAACAACTTCCACCTCAATTGTTTCCGAGATCTCACTGTGAGTACATAGTACGGTAACCTGCTTTTTGAAGACCTCAATTTCTGTTTGCTTATTCGATATTTCCTCTGTGAACTCCACCACAAGAACACCAATATCTATTCCTGAGAAATTTTTCCGATCTGTTTCCAATTATCTCTAACTTCCTGTTTGTTTCTGCTTTTTTCTCGATGGTGGTCTAAACCCATCCTATCGCATGCAAAATAGACTGGAAGTGTGAGGAACTCAACTTCTGTTTTTTATGGAGTGGACTCGATGGCGTATCTTCCACATTGCTCATTTCAGAATCCTCGGTTTTGTGTGGATTTTCGCCATAGTTGAGGATACGTACACTAACGCGCACTGATGGAAAATCGGGTTGCCGCGACTTGCACTTGACTACGTCGTGATAACAGCACTTACGATCAACGGGCTGTAGACACGGTGTACATCACTAAAACCGTTAACCACGGGAATAAAATCATCCGAATGTCACCAAATTTGGTAAGAAGGCTAAGTTAGGCCACCCGAAGGTGGTTACAGAGTTTAAGAGCTTTGGGCCCAAAACTTAGGGGGGTCCATTGGAAGGGATCGTAGACCCCTAGAGTAATGGCGTACCAGTTAAGGTACTCCAAATCGAAATAATCAACGTATAAATCAAGTTTCTAAGACCGTTTGGTACGGAGTTATGACGTTTACAAAACACCAAAATTTTAGGGGGGGGGGAAAGGTCACTTTCAGTATGTTAGGTGCCTAGGTGCCCTTAAGAGGTGGCCGCAGGCCCAGGGTCTCTAGGTTGAAGACGAATATGCTAACGCGGTTTTAGTCCTCGGGGGGGAGGGGGTGGGTAACGAAGAAAAATATTCAGAGCCTGAAAACGGACTTCTACTACACGCTAGTGTGAGAGAAACCTAATCAGTTGTAACATTGGATTAACTCCTCAATTTTACGGGATCTACTCCTCATGAAACTAATGAACATGGGTTGGGAGATGAGGTTCTAAAAGTGATTTAGATGAACCTCAACAATCCAAACAACTAATTCTCTTTCCCTTTGCCCTCTCTCAATGATCGGCATGATAATGTTGTTGGCTGAGTCCACTGGTATATCGAGTTCACTGTTTTGAGAAGCAATTGCTCGGAGTAGTGAGTCAAGTATAATATTCGTTTCTACTCCGAAGATAATAGCTGTGGACAACCTACACTACTATTTGGTCGTTTTCAAAATGTATTAAATATTAATGTTTTCCCTCATCACAGTGTCATCCATTTAATAATATTCAATTATTATTAATATTCTATTATTATCGTGTTCAAAAAATAAATAGACTAAAAGTAAAAAAAAAGTGGTCTAAATCGGGTGATCGGGAAAGTCACGGGTTTTTGTAAATTATTATAATAACAAATAATAACATTATAATAACATAACAAATTGTTTTTCCTATACTCGTTGACTGTTGTCAACACGGGTAAAAAAGAAAAATATGTTATTGTAAAAAAAAGCATTCTCGTCCGCAGTAGAAAAATAACACGCTCTTTGTTGACGTCATTGCTAAAAAAGTGTACACTTATACAAAATAAAACACGGTTTTGTATGTGTCTAGCAAATAGCCGAAAACGACAACATCGACAAGACACGTAGAAAATACTTATTTTACTTTTTATTCGCCGTTCGACTCATATTCCCATAGTCTAGAGCTAAAGTATTACAAGTTCTCGATTGAATTTTAAATATATTTTTAAAAAAAAACACTTAAAATTATGCATTTCAAGAGCACCCTTTTCGTCTCCATGATGTTATTTCTAACTTCGACATGGGTAAGATTATAATACTATATATTTACAAAAACTTATATACATACCGATTATATTATATGAGGAGGAGTGGCGGAGTGGGTAAGGCGGTAGTGTGTTAGCGATCACTGTCACCGGTTCGACACTCAAATTAGGGTGCTCCGTTTGCTGGGCGAGCAATCTTTCGGTGAAAAGGTCAAAGGAGCCGCCCTTCCCATCTCTGAATTCGTCAAGAAACCATCTCATGGTGGCAGCGTTGGGCCTTCATGGCCCGTTAAGCTACATGAAGCTGCAAGAATGATGATGATGATGTTTCTTAGGTTCAATCTGTACGTTTACCAATAAAAGTGATAGCCGTATATTTTATTTTAGAGCACTGGATTGGACAGTGTTCAGTTAATACGTTTGCATGAACTGTTTGAAAATCACAGTACAAGTACCAATGGAGTTGATGAGGAGCAAATCGCACAAGTCGTGAAAGAATATTTTGGACTGGAATGGAAAGATACGGAAAAAATGTTCAACTACAACAAAGGTAACATATTAATAAACAATTTTATTACAATTATTTTTTGGGCACTTCAAGTTGACCGTTATGGCCGTTAAAGGCTTTACGTTTAGTTAATTAATATTTGATGAGCTTCATGGCTCGTAACTGTGAAGAATTTAACGCCCTACACGAGTTAAATACTACATGTTTGAGCACATTACTTGAAACAAATTGTTACCTTATTTTAGTATTTGTTGGAAGTTTATCAAATTTCAAAATATAATTAGTAACATGCATAATAAATTAAATTGTTAAGTTAAGAACAATTTGCTGAAAATATTGACTTGTCGATAACCAGTTTTGAATAAATATTTTTTAAGTCGATTAAGTTTGAAAGTTAGGGTAGGAAGTGGCGTGCGGTTGAGTATTGTGTGCAAATACAAATAGTTCAACAATTCACCCTTCCTTCTATCTACAATTATATCTACCTTTATATATAAATAAAATGCGGTTCGTTGCTGATCACATCACTTGAGAACGGCTGGACCGATTTGGCAATTTTTTTTTTAAATGTTTGAAATAGTCCGAACAATAACAAGAATTCTTAATCCGAGCCAAGCCACGTACACATGCAGCACAATTATATACTTCGTTAACTTGAAAACTATTTATTCAAAACTGACCACCAGCCATGCACAATAGTATTATTGCTTTTAGTGCGTCAGGCAAAAGTCACCGTTACAACTAATTTATTAAAAATACTTAATGACTTAATTAAAAACTAATCATTTTTTTTTCAGATGAGTCTGATTCTTTGAATTTAAATAATTTATTACTTACGTTAGCAAAAAAAGGCGAAAAAAGCTCCGACAAGGTATTCAAATTTTCAAATGATTTAATGCGCGTTGGTAAAGTGTGAACTTTTTTTATTATTCTCTATCATACTATTATTCTAGTTGTGAATTAGCTGAAATTTAATATATTTCTCAACAATATAGCCCCATCTTAAGAGAAACATAAAACATAAAGAATTAAACTTTTTCTCATTTTCAACATTACTCATTTTCTCTTAACATAATCGTGATTTTGTAGATTTTATTTAGAGATAACTAGTGTCTTATCTAAAATTCAATACCCTGTGAATTAAATGTAAGTTTAAAATTTAGAACGGAAGATTGAGTGATATTAACTTTAGTACCATTAAAAATAATTGCTCAAAACCGGCTTTCGACCCGTCGAAATTTGCAGCAAATTATTTAAAAAACTGGTTCGTGTCATGGGACACGAAGTCCCTTTCGTATGCAGGTTTCGTATAAGTTTTGTTATAAAAACTATATGTGATTATATTGCAAGAAGTCTAAAAACTTATAAAATATTTATATTTTATTACTACAGAATACACTTTTACCCTTAAAAGTACTCGATAACCTACGTTGCATTCGGTTTTTCGTCATTTATTATACTTGGCAGTAGATTTTAATATTACTATATAAAAAGATCCTTGTTTTTGAAAATTAATATTAAAATCTCCTGCCAAGTATAATAAATAACGCAAAACCGAATGCAAGTACTTATCAAGTACTTTTAAGGGAGGAAATGTATTCTGTAGTAATAAAATATAATATTTTATAAGTTTTAGACTTCTTGCAATATAAATAAGCATAAAAATTGAAAAAAAGTTGTAAAAAAATGCAAAAAGTGTTGAGAGGAGAACCGGATTTGAGAGCTCGGTACCACTCACTCCTGGGAAACGATCACGCTCGATCGCACCACACATGTATAATTTTCCTAACGCGTTTTCGTAACACATAACGCGTTAAATTTTTCCTCGGCTAGGTCTCCTCGCCAACCCACGATAAGGAACTTCGTTCTAAAATTAATAACATATATACTTTACCAAAAAGCTTAAGTTCATATGACTTACACATAACCAATCATTCTGTAATCAAAAATTGTTTTCAGGTTAAAAAACTCACGTTTTCGGATGTAAGCTTTTATCTAGAAGAGTTCGAGGAATGCAACGAATTGGGTTACCTTAATCTTCAACAGCTTTCAAAAGTATTCACTAATTGGAAAACTGTAAATGATGCATTGAACGCAAAATCAGAAGAACTTAAAAATGAAAAAGGCGGTAATGCACATATGCCAAAGAGGCGGTTCATTTGTTGTAGGCAATTATTTTAATTTTTAATTTGATTTTAGAAGACCATAAAATTATTGCTACTGAGTTTTTGTTGATCATGATAGAAATCAAACCAGAAGTAAGTGTAAAATTAAAAAAAGGGGGAAAATATAATCTCTATAAACATTTAATGGAAAACTTTTATAAGAACCGGCTTAAAACAAGGGTTTACAAAAAATAAATATACAAACAGCCGATCCTATTATTTTCATTTATTTTTATATTAGTTCAAATAATGTGAAAATTTAATTGAACAAAAAGTCAAAATTCTTTCAACACGACACATTTTCATTACGACTGTGTGGCCCTATCTGATCATTGTGTCTTATCCATTTAGAACCATCGTTTATAACTTCTTAATAAGTATTGTGTCTAATATTATCAGTAATAGTTATACCCTTTTGCCAATTTTCACCTGTTTTCTGTAACCTTTACATATCACACCATCCCCTTGTCTAAATTTAAGTCTCTTTTACCCCCTTTTTTATTTGGATTACTTGATTATTAATAACTACTTTGTTGGTGTTTTAATAAATCATATATTGTTCGTATCGAATGACTTAACATAAGTTGAGAGGGAGATTCATGTGTTAGGGATGGGGTGCATTCCTATACATCAGCAAAAATGTATTTTAATAACTTAATGGAATAGAACATTTTTTAAAAAATTGTTTTATTATGTATTTTTTTATCTTATTTATTATAATATCTTAGTTTAAAAAGCGAATTGAAACAAAAATCAAAACCACTATACGAATTACAATTTTTTATGAGGCACTCTGGACAAGATAAAACATATTTTTGATTGGAAAAGGGGGAGACAAACGTTAGATTATTTCTCGTATTGAAAACGGGAACTTTATATTAATTTTTTTCTAGGAATTCAGGGCAATCAATGTCGCCTTTCATTAGTTTCATGACAAATGCCACGTCTAAGTAGAGACGTCATTGCTGCAAGGTGACTAAACCGCAATGCTTCAGGACTACCTCAGATGACCGACCTGCCATTTCTAACTTATAGGCTACCATTCTAGAGAACCGTTTCTGTACTCGCTCTTACTTTTTAATTTGGCCAATTTGTGTAGGATTCCATATAATACAACCATATTCCAGTATTAACCTAACAAGAGAAGAATATAGCGTCACTAGACATCCAATGTCAGAGAACTCCCCACAAGTTCTTTTAATACACCCCAGGGTTCTTAAAGATTTACCATATATTATGCTGATGTGTGTGCTAAAAGGCAGGTCTGATGAAAAGGTTATCCCAAGATCATGTATAGAATCATCACGTACCAGTTTATCGTCACCAATATAGTAGCTGAAATCATGTTCTTGACAAAATGAAATATAAACACATTTAGTTACATTAAGCTTCAGTCCATTATTAATACACCAATTTCAAAATCTATTAACATCTTCTTAGAGGAGCTGAGCCTCTTCCAGAGAAGTCACTTTCATAAATAGTTTAAGGTCATCGGCAAACATAAATGCTTGCATGACTGGAATAAGGAGGTTACGTCGTTTACAAACTATAGAAAAAGCAGGGGAGATAAATGGCCTCCCTGAGGGACACCAGATGTAACTAATATCCTGTTAGTTAAAGCACCACCGATTTTGACAAACTGGCTACGTCCAGTCAAATAGGAAAAAAGCCTCGAAAGAATAGGTTTACTAACGTCCAAACGACTAAATTTGAAAATGAATAAGTCATGGTCTACCGTGTCAAAAGCTTTTTTTACATCCGTGTATATGGCATTAATTGTAAAAATGTTGAGTCTAGAGATGTGGAATTTTGGTGATTTATTGTTTGAATAGACTATTATTGATCTTGGAGGAAAATTTGAATTAATACTTTTTTTCATACATTGTAGGGTCATGGTCTAAACATAGCACAAATAGAAACGTTTGATAGTTTGTACGAAGCACATAAGACATCCGGTAGCATTGATCGTGTAGCATGTGAAAAAGTGTTCGAAGAGCTTGGTATAACCGTAAATGACGAATTGGAACTGCTATTTAACTCCCAGCGTAAGAATTATGTTTGTATTATTATACGTATGATAAGTAAATGGAGAACTGCTAATTATTAAAATTCGTACAGGACCAGCTGAAAGATTGTTGATGGATTTAATCATCCTTGCGGCAGAACGCAATACGGTGGTTGAGGAAAATGTAATATCGTTCATAACTATTTTTTTTTTTATTTTATAAGTTCTTCGCTGAAATATTTGTTATACAATCATGGTTGCTGATAAATAACTATTTTACATAGTTACTTTAAAATTTGTTTAGGAATTGAGTGTATTAAGGCTAAACGATGTCGTAACTGCCATAAACGAATTCATTAAGATGGACCGTAACAACGACTATGTACTGTCTCCTGAGGAGTATGAAGACTACTTGAATGGGTCGAGCACTGCTTTTACAGGGTCGGCAGAAACTGTCAGAAAAGCGGAAAATTATTTAAGGAAATTCGATGGTGAAGTTATTTTAAACAATGTTAAAATGTTTAATTAATGTCGATTGTTGGTCATTGTCTAATAAAAAAATGAATTTTCCTTATTAGGTTTTCAAACAATAAATGCTTTGGAATACATTGAAAGCTGTATTTTTCATGCAAAAACATCCAATGACTTTAAACTTTATACCGTTGGTGATAACTCACAAGCTTTAACAATATTAATATAACATATTCAATAACCATATATATAATAATAGATTTTAAATATTTTTATGTGTTTTCAATTTAAATATCTCGCTCTTTATTGTCAAAAAAAAAAATTATTACTTAAATAATTAAATTTCTATTAATAAATAATTACAAAAAAATATTCAGTACCTAAAGTTATTGTTTTTGTTTAATTAAAACCCCATTATTTATTATTACACTACATTTTCTCAGCATTGTGAACTTTTTATTATCAATACTAATAATAAAATGTATAAATAATAATATTATAATAACATTAATAAATCATAGTAATGACCGAAATTGAATCGATTAAATTAACAATACTGTTATGCAAGGTAACTGTTTTATCGTGAGTCAATCAATATCTTATAAGGTTTAATAAGTAGATTAATTTTTCAACTGTGCGTTAGCTGGGTGTGACCTATTCGAAGTCGGTTAATTACAGACTCTTTTTTTCTGTTTAGTCCGGGATTTTACCATATTGTTTTTTATCCTGTTGAGAAAAAAATTGTTTATAAATGTATATAGTGACCAGTGGGAATTCATTTAGGCGAAAAAAGTTCTGTCATAAAATTCGAAATAACTCCATTTCTAATTATTAACGATGGAATTTCGTATTCTTGGTATCATTCTGATGCGAGTGGTACATTCAAAAAACCGTAGAGAGCGTTTTGCTTTAACTAAAGATTTGTAATTTTAACAGCTTCGCAAACTTCACAAAAAAAATGGGTTTTATGCCTTCCACTACCCCCACCCCTTCTCCCCCAATTAACGCTATCTAAAAACCCTCTCTACAATTCGACGAGTATATCATCCGAAACAGAACGAGAAAATCCGTGGATAAGAAGTGGAGTTATTTCGAGATTTGTATTGCAAAACATGCAAAAAACTGATGAACTGCAAAGTTAGCATAAGCAATCCCTAAAAGTGTACAACTTGTCTAACATTTGCAAAACTCGAAACTTACAACATCTCAGAAGACAAAAAAAATTTAAAATTTCAAGATTTTGTGTAGATTTCACTACCTTATCACAGTATTAAGATTATACCAATGGGAGTGCTATCTGTTAATCATGTAATAAGATGTTTCGTTTTTACCAACTGGTGTGTAAAGATATTTAGAAAAGAAGATGACGTTGAGGATGTCGCTTTAAAAGGATGCTACATGGTCTGCTTTATCATTTTCTGTTTTATTTTTATTTTTAAATGTCTATTGAAGTTACAGTTGACGGGTGCATTGTTTGTATTTATAACAAATATCAATCTTTAGGTATCTTTATTCTTTACTATGCAGTTAAATGTGCATTTAAAAAAACATTGATTACAATACATAGTCTATGCACATCAATATCAGATTAAGTATGATATTATGTAATTATGTATGATATAGCAATTTATAATTAGATTTATGCTAGAATTCTAAATAAAAATAACCATACTATTATAAAATAATTACTCAAACATTTAAAAATAGTTACAACTAAACAAAATACCACGAAACAAAACAACAACCGTATAAAATCATTTTTTATCACGAAATACTGTACACAAAAGTCTCTAATCTTGTTGCTCATATTTTATAAACCAACATAATAAGAAGGTAGTATAATAATTGAGTTGGAACATCTAGTTCAGATGCATATAATAATATATTTTACACAAAATATTGTTTTACGGTATTTTTCACAATAACTGATTGAATTTCGCCTTACAAGCAAAATATGAAAACCACCTGTTGGTGACACACGACCTTTTAAGTTATGGCGTTTAAGAACAGTTATATTTTACAAAAACATGATTTTATAGTTTAACCTATTTAATATTTTTTCTTTAGAAGATTTAAATCGCTGTGGCGCATACTTATCTTCGCAATATACAAACGACACAACGCGTAAAAAAAAATTAATTTTCTAAGTACGGACGTTGCTTAAGTAAAATCTAAGTTCATGATTGCCATTGTGGCAGTGACTGAGTCGGTAATGCACGACCTTATAACACTTTAATCTTGAATTTTTCATCGCACTTAGTGAACACAATTTTTTTGCACATTAATATTTCGTTTTTTTAATCAACCGACCAATGTACTGCGCACACAAATGGAGTTTCCCCCTAAAATTGCAAAACTAAACAAATTATTACGTTTTCCAATATGGTGCCGGTCAAAACGGCACCAGCGACCATGTCCACAATTATTAGGATATTTTTCAGATAATTTTGTATTTTAATTATCTGAACGATGCACAAAACATTAAGTTTAAGTTTACCCTGTTTTAAAGCGTTTAACAGGAGTCTTTTGGAGGCAGTAAAACTGGTTTTGATCAATATCGACCGTATTAATTTATTTTCAAGCAATCTATTATTGCCTATAATTATTCATTTTCATTTATTTTTAAGTATAAAATTATTAAAACTTAAGTCCAAATATCTGGGACGAAATTTGTTCCTACTAATTATTAAACTATCTCCAGCCATAAATATACCTATTTTAATTAAAAATGTTGTTTCTACGTTTCTTACCGCCACGAAATCTCATAATTGTTTTTTTAAGCTGGTTTTTACACTCTGTTGAATTTTCACACAGTAATTGGGTATTAGGTCATTTCGATGACAATACTGATACATTATCTTATTTTTTAATAGTTTTGGTGGCTTGCATGTCGACGGCCATCAACAATATTTTTACCACCATAAACCTTCTGACTAACTATTTTCAAGGTGGTCGTTACCGGATGCTTTTTCGGTACGTTCATGCGGAAAGTAAGTTAGCCCGATCGAAATTTTTTTTTTGCTGTTCTTACAGTCGACATATATAATTGAAATATACCGAAATCAGCTATTCCCGCGGAAGTCAACGGTGGCCAAAAAGGGTTTTCCATTGGGTTGGTCCGGAATAAAATTTTGAATTGACATTAGACCATACTACGTAGTTGAAATTTATTATGGCATTTTGGTCTAAAATAAACCAAAAATACTTTTACTCATGGAAAAAAATATTTAAATTAAAAATAATACCTCGAAGCTTATAAAAATAAAACCGGTATATTAATTGGCATGAGAGAAAATTATTATAACCACTTTTTCTTAAATATTGCCTATACAAAACTCCTTAAAGCTCGCATGCAATTCCTTTATAACAAGGATTTTTTAACATTATTTTTATACTATGTGTAATATATTAAAAGAACATTGTCCATATGAAAATAACTTATGTGAAATCAAATTAGTTTGCAATAAATTTACAACTAGAAAAATAAAGTGAGTAAGAAAAACCCAGTATTCACGGATAAAAATAAAAATATAAATAAAACCACTGTACTAATGACATTTCTGTTTTAAAAAAATAATTTTTAGTATCAGGGTGGGATTATCTTTCTATGATGTTGAAAAAAAGGACTAAGTTCTATACTCATGCAAAATTTAAAAAAAGGGGGAAAATAAAATCCCTTATCGGAAGGGAGGTAAAGTGTTATTTACTTCTTTTTAATTACTCTACCACACTCCACCTCCCATCCTAAATTTTAAAATTTTAAGTAGTTATTCAAATCCGTTTGTCAACTAGTAAAAAATTTCATGAATTGATTTTTAATACAATGGCTATCTTAAATTTAAATAAAAAATGTAAAACAGTAAAGAGAATCAAAAATGTGTAAAAATGTTGAGTCTAGATATGTGGAAATTTGGGGATTTATTGTTTGAATTGGCTATTACCGATGTAGGGGTATGCTTGTATTAATGCTATTCTTCATACGTTATAGGGCCGTGGTCTAACCATAGCACAAATAGAAATGTTTGATAGTTTGTACGAAGCACATAAGACATCCGGCAGCGTTGATCTTGTGGAATGTAAAAAAGTGTTCGAAAAGCTTGGTATAACCTTAAACGACGAATTTAAACTGCCATTTAAAACCCACTGTAAGAATTAATTTTATATTGTATTAGGTAAGATAAGTAATTGGAGATCTACTAAATATTAAAATTCGTACAGGACCTGCTTGAATATTGTTGGTGGAATTAATCATCCTAGCGGCAGAACGCATTACGGCGGTTGAGAAAAATGTAATATCGTTCATAATTATTTCATTTTTAAATTTAAAGGTTTTTCGCTGAAATGATTGTTACACTATCACGCCTACTGATTAATAACTATTTTACATTATAACTTGAAAAATTAAATTAATTAAAACAATATAATAATTATTATATAGCTTAATTAGACTCAGCTGTTGGACGGAACAAATAAAAACTAATACTAAATAACTGTATTTTTTTTCTCCTTTAGTGGTTCTACAATTTTAACATTTTGATGAAACTATAAAAAACATCGTATACTGTACATCTTCGGTTTTTTTGTATTTTTGTTAAATAAGTTTATATTGTATTAAAAAAAAACCGTAATATAATAAATTATAAACGAAGCTATTGGAAATAACAAAAGAAACCAACGTTTAACCAACACCTATTAATCACACGTGGATATTTATATTTAAAAAAAAAAGTAAAAAACCAATTTACTTAGCTAAATAATTTAAAGTCTTTAAAATGCTTTACAATTATTGTAGAAATTTCATTTTTTTTTAAATATTTCAAGAGGCTAATGCTGTTCTGATTGACGTTATAAACTTCAAAGTTCAGTCAATTCTATTTTACCAAAAAAATAGCTTAACAAGCATAACTAAATTAATATACAGGTATCGATAAGAGATTCCAAAATCACCCCTCCCTAAATCCAGGTACCGAAGTGCAGAAAAATCACAACGACCTTGAAATATCATTGTATGGTAAAAATAAAAATTATTCACATAGGTGGTGTTATCGTAACTTTAAAAAAATCGTCAACAAGTCAAGTAGAATTTCAAGGCCTTGAAATTCTAAAGACCATGAGTATTTTTTCGTACACCGTTATAATAATGCAATCTTAATATGGGTATCTTTTGGCCTTTTACAATATTTTCACACAAACAAGCACTGTATTTCATTTATGCAAACAGTGCAAAATTTAAACGCACATCGAATCACACGAGTGTTTTTCAAAGGTAAAAGAATTGTGTTTTCGAGTAAACG